AGTTAGCTGGAATTTTTGTTAAAAATGAGACATCATTTTTACTCAAATGGTCATGCCCATAGTTTCTGAATCTTTCAACTCTCTGGGCTTATATTCATTCCCTAGGTGTTGTCATCATCCATGATCAGATTGACCAGTTAGCTAGTGCTTTTTCTCTTCCCTGCCAGAACCACTTGTAGGCAAACTATAATTATTAAAATTTGAATGTTTTCCAAATGATTTGTTGAAGGTTCATGCAGCAACTGTATCACTTCAAGAAAAAAAAAAAAAAAACAACTGAAAAAGTTATTGCCAATGATGAAACTTTAAAGTTTCAAACTAAAGCCAGAATTTGGGAAAATTCTATGAACTTCACAACTGTTTTTCAGCATATTGTGATTTTCTATGACTGAGCTTCTACAAATCCACAAGCAATGGTTCAGACAGATACTTTAGAAGTGTTTCACTCTTCTGCACCGGTGCAACCTGCATCAAAGAGAAGGTGGACTTCCTTGCTTCTGCCCAGGTACCTGGAGACAGAAGGACAAATATGCTGAGCAGCAGGAGCATCTGGAACAGCCACTTGAACGTGTCTGGTAGCAGGAATCACTGGTGAGCCTGACTGAGATTTGCAGAGTGAAAGGGTTGGCACTGAAAAAATCCCTGGCATTTGGTGCTACTAACAGGTACGCTGTCCCCTGTCATGTTGATAAACCCATTCAAATCAGGTCCTTCTCAGCGGTATAGAAATATTGGTGTTCTGTGGCCTCTCTTGCAGTAAACTGTACTACAGTCACATTGCAGCAGTTTACTTTCAAAATCTGAGGGTTCAGTGGTGACAAGGTGCTAGTTTTCACTGTCACAAAGTGTTTTCATCATTTATAAGAGAGTTGGCCCAATACATAACTGAAGTGAGTATCTAATTCAAAACTGTACTTGTCAATATAGTCGTATAAATCTTCTGTCCCCTCTTGGTTATCCTCACCAACTGATCATAATGTTTATGTCTCTGGGAAAATGATTTCATTTAGAAGATCATACTTGCCAGAATAAAATTGAAACTCTACACATCCAAACTGTAATCATGCGTCTAACATTCCACAAGTAGCTCAACACCTATGAAGTATCATGAATAAATTCAAACACTTTATTCTTAACTAGGTTGATAAAATTCAGCCAAACCCCAGTCTACTAGCTGCAGCTTTCTATGTGATCAAACATGACATTATGGGGCTTCACATTTCTGTGCTTAATTATCATACTGTGAAAATAATCCAGTAATCTCATTTATGCGAAATTGAGTATCATAGTCTGTGAATGTCGGATATAATCATTTGCAGTCTGTGTTCTTTACATGTTCAAAAGCCAAAGTGAGCATTCATGATGCAGGGTTATTTTGTTGTTGTTGTTTTGTTCTTATTGTTGTCGTTGATGCTGCTGTTGTTTTTACAAAACGCATTTTTTAAAAACAGGTTAAAACCAAGAAAAATAAAATAGAACAAAATCAATCAAAACAAACCAGTGCAAGTGACACAGGAGTTCACAACAACAGGAAATTAACAATGGTTATCATAATGTCTCTTGCCTTCTTCAAAATAGCTGCAGATACTTTCAGACATAGTAAAAATCAAACAAAACAACAGAATAAAACCGATAAAAGCAAAATAATGAATGCAATAAAAAAAAAAACCTTTAAACAAGAAAATCCAAAATGGCTACCATAATATATCTTGCTATCTTTGAAATAGCTGCCCCTGCTATCGGATACAATAAAATCAAACAAAACAGAAAAAAAAAAAAAAAAAAAACCCAACCCAACAAAACAATGAAAATGATATTGGACTTCAAAACAAGACAATAAGGAATCACCCATGGACACCACACTCAGAAGGTGATCCCCCATCTGTGCTACACTAAAATCCTCTGAGTAGATGATCAGAGCACTGGCTTTAGACCTGCAAAGTCAGTGAAATTCTAAACACTACAAGCATTAAATTATATTCCACCTCAGGAGCCATCATCACAGCCTGTTTCTCTGGATTAGCTGGTCACTTATAGGTGGGGCGGGGTATAGGGGAATGTTGGCTTTTCTTGTGTCCCAACCCACATGCTGGAAGGGGCTGGAGTCTGGCTTTCTACCTACTGCCTGCATATTACACTGATTCACAAGGAGGGCTTGCTTCTTGGTGACTTCTTGTCCTCTTGCCCTGTAGCCCACAAATGGTACTGACTCACAGGAAAAGGCTGAGTCTGATTCTCCTCCCCAGGAACCCTTGCAAGGTGCCAACTCAGAGGGAGGGCTTGCTTTTTGGTGATTTCTTGTTCTCTTCCCCCGTAGCTCACCACACAGTCTTTTCAAAGTCTATCAATGTGGTGATGTTGGAGCCTCTCTCATATTTTCTAAAGTCTTTATTTAATGCTTAATTTTCTACTTTTCTCTTGGCTTGAAAATTTTAACAACTTCTTCATTGTGAGTGATGTTGTTCTCTTTTTCCTCATGTAATTTTTGTACCAGTTGGTAGTCATCTTGATTTCCTCATTCCACCATATATGCCTCATAATCCCAGTACCCTCATATCTATGTGTATCTGGGTAAACTCTGGTCCTGCCTGGTGGGGGTTCTAAGACAACAGGTAGGTTGGTGCATGAAGCTGAACTTGATGTCTCAAGATCTGTCAAACATTATGTTCAGAGGCAGCTGGGAGTAAGTTCTTGTCTCAGATCTATTTTCATCAAACCATGTGGAAGCCACAGCTCCACTCTCCTCATACAAACAATATATGGTTTCAGTGAAGGAGGAGACACAGACCATCGCCATGAGCCACGGGGACTAGTGTGAGGCTGAAGCCGAGCCTAACAACTTAATACCTCAGTGCTTCTCTGAGGAGATCAACAGTGATATTAACCAATGAGAATTTTTAAAAATATTACATAATGAAGCATGTTAACATTTGAAGATCCAACAGCTCAGTAAACTACTGTTTTCTGAGTGGCCAAGAAATTTTTATTAAGTCACAAAAAGATGCTTTATAACATGAAATCCAACAGCAACAGTTTTCAAATCCACTAAGTATTTTTAGATCCCACAATGTAACTTTTAACAGACTACTTTCTGCTCGATAAGTTTTGTTGTAGTATCAAAGGTACTATTACTATGATCTCTTTCTACTCATCACACTTCTGATATCAAATCACTTCTGATTCCATACTAAGCATATCTTTAATTCTCTGTAGACAATGAGTGTGCCACAGATTTACTTATTTCTGATACTAGCTACTGAGAGATAGGGCAAAACCCACGAGTTAGGGAGCAGCCCTAAACCACAAGTAGTGTATCCTCAAATTACACTTCTTTCTTTTATCAACTTAGATATTTGTAAAAACCAAAAACAGCAGCACTCTAGAGGCTGAGGCAGAAGGATCACTGTGAATTCAAAGGCAGCCTGAACTGAATAGTGAGACCTTTTCTCAAAAAGGCAAAAACAAATAAACCATAAAATGATACCACACTTCTCAATGAATTTTTCTTTTGAAAAAGAGATTTAATTTTCATTAAAAACTTAATTATGTATGAGGAGAGCTATACAAGGGGCTGACAAGAGTAAAAATGATCAAAAAATACTATGACCATAGTATGTTTTGAATCTGCCAAAATGAAAACCATTAATCTGAATAACCAATTTTATTATTTTAAAATTAATCAATATGTTCTAGATATATGTTTTAGTCTCAGATATGATAAATACTGATAGATATAACTGGTGGTATGCTGGCAAACTTTCTGAAAAATATCTGGTGGTTTTGTAGGGTTTTGTTTTATCAAAATTTATTCATCTGTACAATCATTTTTAATGAAATTTCATGTTACAGTTTACAATGGAAGCTAAGCAAAACGTAATTATACAACATATATGAGTCCTTGACCTTTTATTAGAAAGCCATCCTTTTTAGCTCCAACCATACCAAGATTTTAGCCATCCCTAAACAGAGTTTCTTTCCTATTTACTGGTACATTATCTCCCATGTTCTTTCACGACCAAGCACTTAATTTTAGCACTTCCAACAGTTTCCTGGAATTCTTTTGTTTTTGTTTAAAGGTCATTGGAAAATCCTTTCCTTAAACTGCTGTCAGGAACTCAGTGTCTTCATTGGTAGCAAGCAGACTGAAAGCAGGGTCCTGCTTCTTTACTCTAGTTGTATGTAATGGACATCTGATAGTCTTTCTTAAGAGCTGAAGAGTATTTCGTTATAAAGCTGAGCCTAGCCCTTTGTTGGTGAATACCTAAGTGACTCTGGATTTTTTCCTGTAATGAATTAGCAAGATAATGGCCTTTGTCCTGTTAAACTGGGCTCTGTGGGATAGGGCCAACATCTGATTACTAATTCTTTGCAACCCCACTTCAGCATCCATGACATGGAATATAAAATGCTATAAAAGAATGAATGAGGAATGTGTAGAAAAATCATACTGTATTAGCTTCAAGCACTTATACAAGGATTTTCCTGGAAACCTCTTAGTGAGAACTGCAAACAGGAGGTGAAGAGAACCCAATGATTGAAGATTTGAATTGGAATATATTGAAGTCCCACATGTTTCATTTGGTAGCAATGTGACTTCAGACAGTTGCTTAATCTGTCTTTGCTCCAATAATGTCATCTACAAAATGGGTAAAATAGTGGCACCTTCCTCAGAGGATTGCTTTGAGAGAACACATGTAGAAGTCTTAGAATAGGCCTCTTCCACCTGCACTCATCATTTATGTAGGAGTAGCATTCAAATCTCCCCTGGCTACTAAAGAATTCAAATTGCCTCAATTGTAAAAATGCAGCAAGAATGATGCCCATCTCAAGGTACAAACATGGAAACCAGGTCCTTTCATTACTGCTTTTGTAGTGGTAGTTGTTGGTTGGATTTGGCTCTGTGGGTTCAGTTTTACTCCTGAAGAATCAGCTGTTCCCTTATGAAGAGTATTTATACACAGAGTCTGTCACCAGGGAGACAGTCAACATAGAGAATCCAGAGTCACGTCACTGTCCCTGGAGGCTGTAAGCAAACTAACAGGGCTGTTTTATTCTCTGACATTAGAAGCATGCCATCCACTTCCCAGTCAGCAGGATGACTGGGAAGAGGAAAACGTTGTCTCAAACAGTGTCTCCATAGCACTTCTGCCTTCTCCAGAACCTGTCCAGGTGTAAGAACTTGGGACAGCCCTCATCATGTTTTCAACTGCGTTAAACCCACAGTCATTCTCTACACCAGGCTGGCAGATTGAGAAGAAGTACTCAACTGCTGTCCTTACTGGAAACTGGGTGGAAGAGAGGAGGAAGGTAAGGAGGAAGAGCCCAGGGCAGACCAGAGGGAAAACTGACAGATGTAGGGGTAAATTCATCTCTCTCTCTCTCTCTCTCTCTCTCTCTCTCTCTCTCTGTCTCTTGGCTATACTATTGGGGATTAAACCCTGGGTCTTCACACTGAGCTACATTCCCAATTCTTTATTCAAACAATTTCTTGAGCTGTTTCATCAGATTGCTAAATTGTCTTGGCTGGGCTCTAATATGAAATCTTCCTGCCTCAGCCTTCCACAGTGCTGGGAATAAAGGCATGCATCATCATACCCAGCTTCATTCCTACTTTCAAATCAAAGATAGCTAGGGAATTTCAGCTCTACATAAGGCACACTGAAGTAATCATCTAGTCCTTGGTACATTTTGAATATATAGTACTATAGTGGAGGTGTCAGTATAGTTCTATTTCTCAGTACTATTCTCAATACAATGTTTCTAGACATCTAAATATATCCTATCCCAAGTCCTTTATGCCTTTCTTTGACTATCTTCTCCACTTTACCTGGCCAAGCCCCTCCCAGGTTAGGGCACTGGCTGAAGAAAGTGTGGCAATCTCTGTACTTGCACTGATGTCCAATGATGTGCCATGGTTCTCTAGGGCTTGATTTACAATCCAGCCCTGCCTGTATGTTTCACTTTGTAATTTCAAATCAGACTTCATATAATGGAAAGATAGTCCCTGTTCCTTGATAGGCAAAACTAAAATAGAGAAATGTGCATACTTTCAAAACTAAAATATAGATTTACTGCAGTCTCAATCTAAATACCAACAGCTTTCTGATAATAAAAAAACATGAACAATTACAGGCATGGAGGTACATGTCTGTAATCCCAGCACATAGGAGGCTGAAGCAGGAGAATTGTTATGAATTTGAAGTCACTCAGTATGAGTTATACACTGAGTTTAAGATCAACCTGAACTACAAGATGAGATCCTGTCTCAGAAAAGGAAAAAAAAAAAAAACCCGTAAAATTCATATGAAACTAGAAGAAACCCAGAATAGTTGAAGCATTCCAGGGTAACAAGAGCAAAGTAGAAGGCAACACAACGCTGGATTTCAAGTTACATTACAAATGTAGAGTAAAAAGTTACTAGATAATAAGAAATAGGGTGATAAATATTTGGCAAAATGAAAAGAGACAAAAAGATAGAGAGAGTGGAAGGGAGAGGATGTGAAGGAATGAAAAAAATTAGGATTCATTTATGCACATGTAATTACTAATTAAAAAACAAAAGCAAATTAAATGAGTCATCTCATGTCCTGAAAGAAACAAGCAAACCAAATCACCAAACAAAATATAGAATAGGTTCTTGTTGTTCCTTAATGCTTTATCATTGGGAAATTCTTTGTCTCAGTGGGCCTCCTGGAAATTGAATATCTTCATTTGTGCCAATTGAGAGACATCTAGACATCTTCATGTCTTAGAAAATGGGCAAGAAAAAGGGAGATTCAGCAGCCTTGCTGTGGGAAGAATACAAAAGATTTATGGCAATGTCTGAGAACCCAAAAAGGCTGTTTTCATAGAGTACATTAGTGGACCTCACCTCTCTGGCTAGACATGGTCTGTGGCCACCACCAACTCCAGTTGCTCTTGGTCTCACTGGGGGAGCAGGTAGTGTAAGGGAAGTGTCAAGGACCAGAGGGATTGGCTGAGCAGTGAATTCAGTACCTTAGAGTGATATAGTATTCAGGGATAGTATGAGCTGGTCTTATGTAGAGAGAATATTGCATATGGAATGGAGCTGGCATGATGTCAAGATATGGGGCCAAGAAGTTCACATCCTACTTCATGGGTTCCCATAAATGGTTAAAACATTATAGGAGCTTTAAAAGCAGTAAAAGTCTGTAGCAACCAACTGATTATTCAACAAAGAGAAGATCATATTCAAAATGATAGACATTTCAAGGAGGTTTTATTTGTTCTGTCCTCATCGACTCCTCAGCAAAGCATAGCATAGCCTGTAATCTGAGGAATGTGGTAAGCCAGGTCTTAGTCCTGTCCCAAAGAAGGAAGAGTAATTCTAACCTTTCTGGGCTACCGAGACAAAGTCTAGCTCTTCTAACTTGGAACTCAGAAGGGGAAAATGTGGCATGGCTCGTTTCCCAGGATAGGAAGAATCATGGGGAATAGTAGCAGACACAGCTAATGAAAGCCACCAGGGGACTTCAGATTTGTAAATGTCTTAGGTAAATATTATCGATAGAGGACTATAGAACATGTAAAGCCCAAAGAAGGAGCAGGGATAAGATTTATGAAATATTAAAACGATTAAAAAGAAACATATGGAAAGAAAATCTGGAAAAAGCACATACACCCTTAGGCAAAAAGTATACTAGCAAATGCCTAAGAATATTTTCAACCTTCCTGAGGACTGACCTTAGACTTAGAACATGATCTGCTTGTTAGAACATGATCTGCTTGTGTGTTACTTGCACAAATCCAGTCTACAGAGACTGGGAGAGTTGGTAACTTTCCCTCCCCACACCCTTCCAAATTCTTAATCTTCAACAGCAGAAAATTCAGTTGGCCTATAAATCAGAAACCATGGTTCACCCAAAGGAATAAAATAAAATAAAATAGAAAAACGTCTCTAACAAATAGCATAAATATCAAATTACTAGTAAAAAAGACTTAACTGTCTTCAATTTGTTTAGGAAAGCTATTTTTAAAAAAAGTAAAATAAGAAAACAGCATTTGAACAAAATGACAATGCAAGAAAAAGAGACCAATGGCATAATTTAAAACTGAGAAATGCAATACATAAATCGAATAATTTAACAGATGGGTTCAACAGCAGATTGGAAAAGGCAGAGGAAAATATCACTAAATGAAAAGAGTGAACAGAGCTTAAAGAACTCATGTGTCGCCATCAAATGCATCAAAAGATATGTCAAGGGAATGCCAGTGAGAGTAGAGACCTCAAAGGGCAAAAAGACTGTTTCAAAATATAACTACTGAAAACTTTCCATATTTGAGTAATGGATGGTTTTTTAAATCAAAGATGGCCAATGAACACTAACAGCATACATATAAAGAAATCCATGTTGACATGTACCATAATTAAATCACTGAAAACCAGAGACAAAGAGAGAATCTTGAAAGCACTGAGAAAAGTAGTCTGTCACGTAAAAGGAATCTGCATCAAGATTGTCTTAGTCATTTTTCTCTTGTTGTTGAGACAAAACAACTGACACCCAAAATGAAGGAAGGAAAAGTTTATTTAGCTTACATTTTTTTGGAGGTTTCAATCCATACTCTGAAGTCCATACTTCAGTCCATACTCTGTTGGCTTCAAGGAAGGGTGCCATTGCTAAGGAGCAGTTGTTCATGGTGGCCACAAGCAACAACACTGAAATGTGCAAAAGTGGAAAAGTACAGCTCGCTCCCTCCTCTATATTGTATGCTGTCTCTGCCCCTGGGCAGGTGCAACACTCCTACCACCAATCCCACCGCTAGACAATGAACCAGTCACAAATACTAGATTCAGCTGCCTGCATGAATGCATGGGTCATCCAAACACAAACCATAACTAGGATTGTCAGTATATTTTGAGCAGAAAATTTAGAAGCTGGAAGTTAATGAGGTAATAGATTCTAAGTAATAGAAAAATCTATTAACTGAAAATTCTAGATCCCACAAAACTGTTCTAAATGATGAAGAAATTAAGGAATTTCCAAATAAAGGAAGACTAAGGGAATTCATCTCAAGCACACTTGCCTTACAAGGCACACAAAGCAGAATCTTTAAATTAAAATGAAAGGTATTAGCAGCTTAAAGCCATAGAATATCAAAGCTCCAAATTATGTGAAGCAAAAATGGACAGAATTAAAAGGAGTGCTAGACTGCTATACAATGACAGTAATATTTTAATATTAGATAGAATAACCAAATAGAAGACCATATAAAATTAGGAGACTTGGACCACACTGTGGACCATTCTGAGCTAATGTATTGTATGCAACACTCCACTTGACAAGAGTAAAATCATTTTGCTCAAGTTCAGTACAGGGATAGAGGTTCAGTTTTGAATAGAATGTTCTGGAGATAGATGAGAGGAATGGTTGAACAACAATGTGAATGTACTTAATGTCTCTGAATTGTCCACTGATAATGTTTTTGGGGTTTGTTTTGTTTGTTTTTTGTTTTTGCTGCTGGGGATCAAACTCAGGACATTATACTTGCCAGGCAGGTGCCAGGCTGCTGAACTACATCCCTGGCTGATAATGGTTAAAGCTGTAAATATTTAATATTACAGCACATTGAATTTCAAGAAAATATGATATAGTGAAAACAGAGAGAGGGTGTGTGGAGTTGGGAACAGCGAGAAACAATAAAGAGAAAGGAAAGAAGAGACAGATAAGTGACAGAGTGCGGAGAATGTAGGTGAGAAAGGAAGCAGGTGAGGGCCATGAGGAGGTGGCCAGTATGGCCAGAAGCAGCTTCTGAGGATGCAGATGGCTGGTAACCAACCCCTGAACCTTTAATCAGTTGTGTAGGATATTCTGGCTTGTATTTAACTTTGTCTGCCAGTCTTTTGATGACCCAGAAGGTGAGGGCAGTCACAGCAGAAGTTTGCAAACAGTGGCATCTTAGAGGTTCTGCTGAATATTTTCTCTTTTTCAGTTCACCAGAGATACTGACCAGGTCCCCCAGAGCACTCACAGAAAGGAGTACGTCGCTTTTCCAGGCCACAAGCCAGACCAGATCTCCAGGTGGTATGGGAAGAGAAGAGCTGAGGTAAGAGAGAAAGCTGGTCCCACACAGAGGCGTGGGGTCCTCCCCACATTCATGACATACAAGCCAACATCTTCCAGGCTCAGCATGTCCTGGGCAATCAGGAGCAGTTTCATGAGCATCTTGCTGCCAGGGACTTCAATCAGTGTTACCCTATCACTGCTTCTATGAGCAGGTGATGTTAAATCTCAGGGTGGTAACAGCCCTGTAGAGAAAAGCGGTCAACAGTTAGGAAAGAATACAATAAGGGCCTCATTAGGCTTTATTAAAGATATTAATAGAAAATCTTAGCACAAGTGGCTTTTGCCTCTGTAGTTAATCCTTTTAGCGATTAAAAGGACAAAGGTAGAGAAAGAGAGAAACTAGACCTAGAAAGGCCCTAGCTAACACATTTAAATATAAGAATTTACCAGAGTAAGAACTGATAGACATAGCAGATGAAAGACAGAAGCATAGAAATCTGGCTAGTTATCCCCTCCCCTACTGCAAACAAATGAAAAGGAAACAAGTGGAGGTCATCTAACTCTTAGTATATAAAATTATACACAGTTACATCTATGCATCTATGCATGTATATGTGTGTGTGCGTGTATGTGTGTGTGTATTCCCTAAGGTCACTATATTACATTACATACACACACACTGCACTACATTGGGTCACTATGTTAGATACCAAAAACATTACTCTTCTTAATCACTAACTCTAAGCTACCTTTCTGTAAGTACCCCCTCAATTTATGTATCACAAAACATTAGGTAACAGTCAATTAAAGCCCACCAAAAGGAATGTGCATGTAGGCAAAGGTGCCCAAAGACAACCAGAAAGCCAATCAGATGTGACATGTTCCAGGTACCCACATGGAGGAAGTAGTCATTAGTTCTAATAAAAGAAACCAGGGTCACGTGCTTGGAGGAATCCATCTTTCACAAACCTCCTGCACTCACTCTGGGGCAGTTTTCTGTCTTCTGACGGCTCTTCCTTACAAATAAAGCATCTTCCTTTCTTAAACTCTTTCCCTTTCATTCATTCCTGGTGCTGAGTTTATGATATCAGCCAGGTGCTCCTCCCAGCAGTGCTCAGCCCAAATGTGACTAAAATGTGAACCCTTCCATAAAACTCATTCAAAAAATATTTCTTAGTGTTTTACAATATAATTATAAATCCTAGTTAACTTGTCTTTTTGTCCTGTAAGTTGTGCTTCCTCCATCTTTAAAAAGCAGTAGTATCTTGGGGGCTGGGGATTTAGCTCAGCGGCACAAGCACCTGCCTTGCAAGCAGGTGGTCGTGAGTTCGATCCCCGGTACCGATAAAAATGAAAAAGACAAAAAAAAAAAAAAAAAAAAAAAGCAGTAATATCGGTGGGGAGCATATCTCAACTTCAAAGTAGATGACTTGCAATGTGACCTGATGGACGGTGAGAACAAACATCCTAGATCACCTGTCTTGAAGACACCTCTTCAAATGTACTCAACTCTGGCTCTCGTGTCTCTTGTTTCTCTGAGCACCCATGCTCAGCTCTGTAGTGTGTCCCATATCTCTAATAAGCTCTTCTTGTGTCTTTTGTACTGATGCATCCTGAAAGTTCTTTTTGTGCATCAGGTCAATGAACCTGAAAATTTATTCTACAAACAAGATGGAGTCAGTTCTTTATTTCAGCCTCAGACCCAACCAGATGACATTTCCAGGAAGAGCAGGTAGAGCTTCCTCCTCCCTTACTGCTCTTGGTACCTTCTGGTGGGTGTGCCCTGGGAGAGTGAACATGTGGGTGCTCACATCCTGGGCACAGTTGTTCCCTAACATGTCACACTCCAAAGAATCCTGAGAGGCTTCTTTTGTCAGCCTATTGCCCTTATCGCTGGCCCCTCTCTCCCACTCCACTGATCTTACACCTGCTTAATCTCACAATAGTGGCAGGGAGGCACCTCGTCAATTGGCAGGAACCTGTCAGAATGCCAGCATTTTACAGCTGCAAAGGACCCAATGAGATTATTAAGATATGTGCTCATAGGGAATGAGAGTCTTCCAAAGATTTATGGCTTATTGGTAAAGGAAGGAGAAGCTGACATTGCTGTAAACCAGGCAAGGCATGACTCAGATGATAACTTTTTTGCAAGTCCATCTTTAGCATTCCCAGATCCATGTCAGGATTAACAGTGTCAGGCTCTGGGCTGTCTGCTGGGTTCCTGGGCTGCACAGGCACGGCTGAACACAAAGGCACATGTGAACCACACTGGCACCCACCTTTCTGCAGGCATCCCAGTTCCATGCCAATGCTCTGGCTGCTCACCCTCACCATTAGTGTGTGCTGAAGACAGAAAAGCACTTGAACAGAAACAAGGCACAGTGAGAACCCCAGAGGGCAATACCTATGTGTTTGTGTGGTGGTGGGGTGGGGGAAGTTAGCTTAGTTCTCATACTTCAGAGTATTAGTTAGCTTTTGTTGAACACGTTAAGCCCTATTACAAACCTTGAACCAGAGCTTAACATACAGCCTGCTTAAAATTAAAAAGCCTCTAATTCCAATGCAAATACAATTGAAAGCTCATTCCTGAGAATTCTGTTCCAAAACCTGTTCTGTGCTGGGTACTGGCACAATACTGCCCTCACATGGTTGCATCACCTCTGTCAGCTCTGCTTCCTAGTGACTCCTCTCTGTTCATAGGCATATGCTGTCTGTTCTCCAAACTGCCCTTGGTAGCAGGGTTACCATTACCCACAGAGGACTCTCTTCAGGGAATGTTCCTTTGGGGAGGTCTACCAATCATATTTTTATTCCTTTGTATTTATCCATTTATTTTTTTTTACTGGCAATACTTGAAACTAAAATCAGAGCCTTTGCAACATTGGCAGTCAGGTCTTTTCATTTTTTATTTTGAGACCAAATCTCATTAAATTGCCCATGTGGAATTAGAATTTGTAATACCCCTGCCTCAGGCTCCCCAGTACTGGAATTAAAGGCTTGTACTAACACACCCAGCTTTAAATTTGTTTTTATTTATTTATTTTATTTAAAGAAAAAAAAACAGAAAAAGGGTAGAAATAATACATAATTTCAAAAAAATGAACAGTAAGAAATCACTAGTTGATAATTACATATTGTCCTCTTACAAATAGTTGTTCAAGTTACAAAAGTGAAGCATACAAAGTGGACATTCAAACAGTGAAATTGCTAATAGTTCTGTTCAACTATCCAAAGAAAACTTAGTAATATGGTCATCAATCAACATCCATGCAGTTATATCTTTAGAGCACTTTTTCCCCTCTCCTTTTTACAGTAGCAATTATATATTTTGGGTTTATTATTCTTTCGTTTCTTACTACCTTTTACCCTAGAGACACAATGTGGTATTTATTAATATGATTCTTGTTTACATCACTAATGAGGATAGCCTGAAGTTGGCTCCATTTGCCTATGAAAGCTTCATGATCATCTGTTTTTATTGCTGAGTAATATCCCATTGCATAAAAATACCACATCTTTTTCATCCACTCTGTGGTTGATGGGCATCTTGGTTGTTTCCCAGGTTTAGCTATTACAAATTGTGCTGTTATGAACATGGGTACACATATATCACTGTGATATGACCTTGTTAGTTTTTCTGGGAAAATACCTAGGAACAGAATAGCTGGGTTGAATGGGACTTCCAATCCTAGTCTTCTGAGAAATCTGCATACTGATATCCATAGTGGATGCAACAGTCTATACTCCCACCAACAGTGGAGAAGTTCCTTTTTCCCCGCAGCCTCACCAACATTTGTTATTAGTTGATTTCTTGATGGCAACCATTTTCTCTGGAGATGAAATCTCAGTGCTGTTTTAATTTGCATTTCTTGAATGACTAGTGATGGTGAACATTTCTTCATGTATTTATTTGCCATTTGTATATCTTGATCTGAGAACTTTGTGTTCATCTCAGATGCCCATTTTTGGAGAGGGTCTTTCAATTTGGGATCTTGATGTTTTTCAATTCTTTATATGTTCTGGAAATAAGTCCTTTGTCTGAGGGGTTGCTGGCTATAATTCTTTCCCTTTCTGTGGTTTTTCTTTTCAGTCTGTTGATGATTTCTTTTGAAGTACAGAAACTTTGCAGTAATATGAGATACCCATTTTTGAAGTGTTTCCTGCGCAGTTTGTGTTTTCTTCATGAATTCTCTACCTGCTCCGAAGTCTCCAAGACTTCTACCTACCTTGTCTCCAGCAGATTTAGTGTTTCCGCTGTAATATTTATATCTTTGGTCCATTTAGACATTAGTTTTGTGCATGGTGATAGACATGGATCTAATTTCAGTCTTTGGCATGGGGAGAGCCAATTTTTCCAACACCATTTATTAAAGAGGATATCCTTCCAGGGAATTGTAACATTGGCTGTCAGGTCTTTTCATTTTGCTTGTAAAATATCAGGTGCTTGTAAACTGCTTGTAAAGTATCAGGTGGCTGAATGTCTTTGTAGTTGTACTTGCATCTTCTTACCTGTTCCATTGATCCTCAGGTCTATTTCTTTGCCAGTATCATGCTGATTTTGTCACTGTGGTTTTGTAGTATAGTTTGAAGTCAGGCCTTCTGCCTTACCTTTGTTGCCCATAATTGACTTTTGTTATTCTAGGTTTCTTCTGTTTTTAAATGAATTTTAGGAGTGTTTTCTCTAGATATGTGAGGTGTGTTAATGGTATTTTGATTGGGATTGTGTTAAATTTGCATAACAGTTTGGGGAGTATGGCCATTTTCATAATGTTGGTTCTTCATAGCCAAGAGCAAGGAATATCCTTCCATTTTCTAATATCCTTTTCAATATCTTTTTTTTTGCTTAGCATAATTTTCAGCATGTAGGCCTTTTATATTCTTAGTTAGGTTGATTCCTAAGTATTTCATTTTTTTTAAGATGCTATTGTGAAAGGCGATAGTTCATAATTTCTCTTTCGGTGACTTTTTTGTTTGCATACAGGAATTCTATTGATTTTTGAGCATTTACTTTGTAGCCAGCTAAACTGCTGTATTTGTTTA